GCTGTGCCGCTGAGCTAAATCCCCAGCCCCTCAGCTCTTCTGTTTTTAATTTGTGGGTTGTTATGGTTTATGTCTGGATTTCCCTGCACAGCCTCAGGCAGTGATGGGGCGGGCTTCTAGAGTTTATGATTGATTCATGGTCCAATGCTGGGATTATGGGTGTGAGTGCTCCACCTGCCCTGGTTCGGGTAGTTCGCATACAATGAAAGGGAGGAAAAGAGGCTGCTTGCCGCCACTCCTCCTTTTTGCTCTTGCTGCTTTTGCTGTCTTCTGCCGCCATGAACAATTTCCCTCTGCCATGTGCCACTCTGCCTTGGAGCCAACCAAGTATGGACTGAAACCTCCACCAACTGTGAGCTAAATAAATCTTTCCTTCCTTAATTCTTGGCATCAGGTATTTTGTCTCAGCAATGAGAGAAAAGTAACCAAGACAAGGTCTGTGATCCATTTGGATTTAATTTTAGTACAGTGTGAGAGATATGGACCTAGTGTTATTCTCCTACACACATATAGCCTATTTTCCCAGCATCATTTGCTAAAGAGGCTGTCTTTTCTCCAGGATATGTTTTTAGCCCCTTTGTCAAAGATTAGATGGGTAGAGGTACATGAAGTTCTACTCTGTTCTATTCCATTTGATCTACATGTTCATTTTTGTGCCAGTACCATGGCTGTTTTTATTACTATAGCTTTGTAGTATAATTTGAAATCCTGGATTGTGACCTCTGACTTTGCTCTTTTTGCTCAGGGTTGTTTTGGGTACTTGGAATCTCTTTTGGGTATTTGGAATCTCTTTCACATAAGTTTTGGGATTGTGTTTTCTAGCTCTGTGAAGAATATGGTGTATATATTGATAGGAATTACATTAAATCTGTTTATTGCTTTTAGCAGTATGGGTATTTTGATGATATTGTTTCTACCTGTCCAGGACCGGGGTGTTTTCCATTTTTAATGGCCTCCTCAGTTGTCCTTTTACTTCAGAGTACGATATTTTTCATTATGGAGGTAACTTACTGCCTTGGTCAGGTTGATTCCTAGGTGTTTGATTTTTTCAAGCTCCTATGAAGGGGTTGTTTTCCTGATTTTTTTCTATATGAATTTATTACTGGTGCACAGGGAAATTATTGATCTTTGTTGATTTTGTATCCTGCTACTTTGCTGAATTTGTTTTATTAGCCCTAAGAATTTTCTGGTAGTGTGTTTTGGGTCTTCTGTATAAATAAAGGAATATATCGTCTGCAAAGAACATAGTTTGCCTTCTTCCTTTTCTGTCTGTGTCCCTTTTATTTCTCTTGCCTGAGTGCTCTGGCTCGTTTCTAGTACTGCACTGAAGAGGAGCTGTGAGAGTGGACACCTTCGTCTTTCTCCTGACTTTAGAGGAAATATTTTCCCTTTCCCCCCATTTAGTGTGGTGCTGGCTATGGCTTTGTCATACAGGGGTTTTACAGTCTAAGGTAAGGTCCTTTTATAGGCATTTTCATCATGGTTTTTTCATGAATGTTGAATTTTGCCAAAGGCTTTTTTGCACCAGTTGGAGATTATGTGATCAGATATTACTCTTTTACTACAATACAAATTTATTTTAATATCATATCTTACAGAAGTTTGTGTTCAAATATGTTTGTAAAAATCATTTTTGCTTCATCTAGCAAAATCTAAATTCTCATTCAAATATTATAAAATATACTGTCATATATTCAGTTTATCAGAACATGATTATATGTATGACAGTCTTATTTAGAAAAAATTGTTTCAGATAGCAGTATAGAGTACATGGACTTAATTGTGCATGTACCAATAATTTGATGCTATAATTGATAATAATGACACTATAATTGATATTGTATGAGTTTTCACTTTTTAAATGACAGTTTAAACAAAATGCTTTTACTAGTTGATTTTAGATTTACAGCCTTTCTAATCTTAATACAACTTAAATACTGGATATAATGAAATGTTATTTGAAGAAAATACTTAATCATCTGAATCTAGCTATATGTGTAATATATATTTTTTCTGTTAACATTTCCAGCTAAACAGTTCCAGTTCTTTCACCTTCATCTCCAGTGTTATTTTGCATTGCTATTGATAAATGTTCACAGTCCTTTTTAAATGGTGATAGTTAGACAAAGAGAAGACATTGGTAGCAGTGGCTTCAATTCAGGTATTATTGGAGGGACCTCTTCAGTACTTGCATTTTGGGTCACCTTCCGTGACCCACTGGACTGAAGGAAAGTGGGCAGCTCTTTGCGCAGAGGCATAGAACATCCTGGGTAACGATTCCGGAAAACACCTTCCATGTCCTAAATTTCCTACGACTGTGTTGTATAAAGAGCTGTCAGTACTGGTTTTGAAAATCCAAGGTAGAATCTCACAAGGCCAGTGTGGGGAAGGTACAGAGGAAGGAGGTACTCCCTCGCATTTCAGTTCCGCTAGATTGACCCTGTTGTGTAGACTTCTGTGAGCTTGTTTCTTGTTTCTGGACTGGTGCATTTTCTCTCTGATGCACCCTGTGCACTTTGTGTGTGAGTCTGTTCCACTGCTCACTCATATGTCACAGGTCATTGTTTATGTGTCCCCCCTGGGGTGTCACCCCATCAATGCCAAAAGGCATATCTTACGCACTGATTTATTCCTAAAGCTATGGCAGTGAATGGGAAATTTATATCCCCTTATAAATCCTGGATTTCTATAGTATTTGTTCCTAGGCAAATGGAACCTAAGTTATATTTAGAAATATTTGTTTTTTCCTCTTGAAGTGTTTGTGTACTCTCAGGGAACATATTTCTAGTTATTTCTGATGTTCCTTTCACTACAGTAACATTCTTTTATTATCATAAATCTCTAGTATTTACGCATTGTATTGTAAATAAATCACATGGAAAAATGCAGTGTTGTGCACGATTTAGTGTTTAAAAGCTTAGTTCAGTCTGAACTTACGTTGTATGATACTTGGGGACTGTGAACCGCGGTGCGGTCACAGGCAGTTTTCACACCCCGGCGTTGTGTACGCTGGGTCGTCGCCCATGTGAGTCGGTGTCCCTCATCCCGAGCCCCTGAGGGCCTCGTGCCTTTCTGTCTCTCGAGCCATCTGAGCTGTTCAGTGCAGCGTGGTATCAGGAAGTGGCCGCCATTACTCATATAGGATCATGTACATGTATACTAGATATATATTTATAATTTTGGTTGCTGATAGGTCTTTAAAACCTGAACCTTGTAGTGTGAATTATTGTCATTTAAAAAGTAAATGCCTATCCTATGCCCAACAACTTAAACTGCAATCCTAAATAGAAATAGTACTCTTGAGTATATTAAAAATGGAGTCCTCACTCAACTGTTTGACATACCTATTTTTGAACAAGATCCAAAAAATCTTACTTTTCTGTAAAAGACAAGAGAAATAGTTAATGTTTTTCTTCACTTGTGGATGCATACATATTTATCTTATTGTCGTATTCTAGTTAAGATCCCATGTTCCATTTGAATGATACTTTGATCAGTTTCCTTTTTTGAGCAAGGCAGAGTACTAAATTATCAAGGGAGTTTTCCTTTAGAATTTATGAGAGGCTGGGGATACAGCTCAGTGGCACAGCGCCTGCCTGGCAAGGGCAGGGCCCCGAGTTCGATTCCCAATGCCAAAAAAAAAAAAGGATAGAATTTATGAGAAAACTGGAATAAGTTATTTGATTTATATTGTGGTTTAAAACTTGCTTGAATTTGCAAAGCAGTGAAGAGGTTTTGTAGGAAGACCATCCATGCAGAGCCTGCTGGTAAGAATATAAGTCATTCTCTGGTAACTGTGCAATGCAGAGTACAAAGATTTGACCAGGCATTGAGATGGAAACGATGAGAAGGCTTCAACTCGCACAGCTGAACATATGGTGAGTACTCTGGGAAGCAGTAAGTGATTCTGAAAGGATGGCATCTTTTAAAATCTTAATTTCAGTTGGCAGAGAAAACCCAATGGGAATGTGTGCAACACGCAGCCAAGGGGAAGAAAAGATTCAAGAGTCAAAAAACCATAAAGAATCACCAGCAGAATCCGAGGCCAGCGATCCCTTATGCTCTACAGCTGCAAGTAAGCAACAGGTCTTTTTTCTGTTTCATTTCATTTCATTTCGTTTCATTTCTTTTGGCTTATTTGTCTGCATTGCTTTTTCCTGTAGCTACCTGAGGAAGACCATCATATTGTTTTTATAATATGTGTTATGTTATACCATACAAATTGCTTTTAAGCTGTTTATCTTACATTTTTATGCTTTAGTTTTATATTGCAAAAATTACATTTGTGTAAAAATGTGTTTATTTCTTTGTCTTAAATTTAATGTTCACTCTAGAACAATGGCTTCAAGAGAAAATAGTATTATGATATTTTGTCACCCACAAGATATTTCATGAATAAAATACAGATTCTTACCAAACAGTAAGGAACAACAAAAGTAATCTTTATTTTTCTGACATAGAAGTGGAGGCATGATGCAATTGCTCTAGGGGGCTGCGGCGGGGGGAGGCTCAGTGGCAAAGCACTTGCCTAACATGCATGGGATCCTGGGTTCCATCCCCAGTACCACACACACACACACACACACACACACACACACACACACAGAAGCAAAAGGAGAAGAAGGAGAAGGAGAAAACAAAACCGCTTTAGGTAAAAAGATTTGAACTTCTAGTTTCTTAGTCTGTCATTTTTTCTTGCTTTTAAATGTAATATAAATGTATTACATTCCTCTGACTGGGAACTATAATACATGATATCTGACAAGTTCTGTGCATCAGAATCTAGTCAGTGAAATAGTAGACCATGCCGTCTTTGAAACATATTTTTGCAGACAGAGAAATTAGGGTGTTCCTTTTTAAAAAGTGAGTTTTTGAAATCACTTATTGGGATGTTATTATTTCTTTCAGACAATAACAGATAATTGATATCTCATTGACTTGCCTATGGTATTATCACATCAACCATAGGGAAATATTTTGATTTTTGCTTCATTGGATCAGTCTCAGTACTATATTTCGTGTTAAATCATGAATCCATGGAACAGGGTGAAGAATTACACTGTGTGAGAAGCATGTGCTTAAATTTCTCACACAAGCATCCAATCCTTCTCAGGAAGCAGTGGCACCTATATTAGACATGGGCACCGATGAAGATAGTGCACTAGCTGAAATCTCTAGAATAGATGCTTTTTTGTGAGTGGCAAGAGCTTGAGAGAGAACTTTCTGCTGTCTTATGAACATTTGTTCTTGCACAATCATTTTTAAAATGTTACCATTGTTAACATTTTAAGGAGTGGAAAAGTGTAACTTTTTTCTTAAAGCTGGCCAACTATATTAGATGACTTTGCTTTATTACAACAAAATACCTGAGGCCACTAACTCTTAAAGAGAAAATATTTATTAGGTCATAGTTTTAGGGTTAAAAATCCAAACAGTGGCATAGTGCAAGCTTGTTGATGACAGCCCCTTGGATTTATCACCACATACTGTGGGTGGCAAAAGAGGCAGTACATGTGGGCAGGTGATTGTATCTCAAACTGAAGTGTGTCTCGACCCAGTGATTATCTCTCAGTGTGCTTAGTTATTTTTCTCTTTACTGTGACACAGTACCTGGCACCCAGTTAAAGGAGGAAAGGACTGTTAGCTCACAGCTTGTAGGGGTTTCAGTTCGTAGTTGGCTGGTTCCAAGGGAGAGTGGCATGAGAGAGGGGCATTGCAGAGGAGAAACAATCCATGGCAAAGCAGGGCAGACAGAAGGCAGCAAGAAACAAGTGACAAAAGGACGACACTAGCCCTCTTCTAGTCCCTTAGATTTTATCCAGACTACTTGCCCTTTGGGATGCTCTTAACCTAGCATCAGACCACGAATCAAACCCAGCCTCACATCCTTGATTCCAGCATCACACACTCCAGGTACCTCCAAAAAGTACTACTTTTGATTGCATGAGCCTTTGTGGGGACATCTACACACAAACTATAACACAGAGATGGGTAGAGAGTAGTGGAACAAGGGTGGGTAGGGGGAAGACAGAGAAAAAAGAAAAAAGAGGAGGAAGAAATAGAGAGACTCAAGTCCCACAGCTCCCTTAAGATTATGACCCCATGACCTCCAGAAAGGTCCCATCTCCCAAAGTTTCCATCACCTATCAGTCATGTCACCCTGGAGACCAAGCCATTAATGTAAGGACCTTGATCAGACACTACCCACATTCAAACTATAGCACCAGATAGCTCCAAAAATGATAAACTTAGGCCTCATGATAGATGTAGAACTTCTAAAATCATCCTTTTATTTAGCCAATCATTAAATATGCATTGTGTGCCTAAGTGAATATCAGAGATAAAGAAATAGAGTGGTGAGCAAAGTGAACTTGGTCTCAGCTCTCCTGAAGTTTGCAAGTCAGTAAGTCAAATAAATATTGAACCACAAAATATAGAGTAAAAGTAGATATTTGAGATGAGGAAAACATCTAGGGTATGCTAGACACAACATAAAATCTGAGCCGTGAATTCAACGTAAAAGACTTTGCAGTTAATGGAAATACAATTGAAATTAGGGTTGGCCAAAAACTGAGAAAAGGGACTGTGAACATAAACTTTATTCATGAGCTCTTTAAACTATTGACATATCACAAACTTTGACCTTGAATGTGAAATCTGAGAAATCCAGATGACAAAACTCCTTTAAAACAAATACCATCTACATGATGTTCATAATTTGTTTAAATTTTACCTGTTTTTGATTGCAGTGGAAATGGTGCTATAGATATCCATAACTTTTGGTGGAAAAGAAAATGTCTTCTTATGTAAATATTGCTGTCTTGGTTACTTTTTTCATTGCTGGGACAAAATACACAACACCCAAAGTTAATGGAGGAAAGGTTTATTTCAGCTTATAGTTTGTAGAGCATTCAGGCCATAGTCGGCTGACTGCAAGGCAGGATGGAATGGCAGAGGGCATCACAGAAGAGAAATAGTTCATGGGAAAGCGGGGCAAGCAGAAGGCAGCAAAGTAGCAAAGCAGCATCTTTCTGTCACTTTATATTCCATCCAGGCTACCCGCCTTATGGGTAGTGCCATCCATACAAAGGATAGGGCACTCTTAATCCCAGCATTATATCCTTAATCCCAGTATCACAAACCCTATTCCAGCTAGCATGTAGATGCAGTATAAGTGATAACAGTTACCTAGAAGGCTTTCATTTATTACTGAGTAATTAGATAATAAAGCTGTTTTTCTTTTTTCTACTTCCGTTGAACAGTTGAAGGAGTTAAAAGGTGTTTCTTGCAAAAACATTTTGGTTTTACAATTTAGCTGTTTTGCTAGGTAGGTTTTGGTTATATTAGCTATTCATATGAAAATGTGTTAGTTAAAATTTCTTAAGAAAACATTTTTTGTGAAGACATGTAAAAGCAACTATTATCTCCACTTTCAGAACACTTCCAGTTATCTATCTGTCTATCATCTATCTGTCTATCTATTATCTATCTACCTATCTATCTATCTATATGTCTACCTATCTATCTATACCTATATCTATATCATCTATATCTATATCTATCTCTGGGAATTAGGAATTATAGACAAAGTAAATGACCTCTTTTTCTTCAAAATGCTTATTTATGAAAAAGAAAGTGAGATTTTTTTCTCATCTACATCAGAGGAGTAGGAGCAGGTAGAACTTGTAGTAACACATACAGAGTAAATAGTTCTTTTATAGTAATAAATAGGGATGTCTTACCATTACATTTGCAGGGTTTTCCTTTAGGTTCAAATTGAATTATAATACTAGCTATGAGGGATATGAGGAAGAAATCTTTTTCTTTTTTTTAAAGAAAACTTTTTATGGAAAGTTTCAAGGTTACACAAATGTAGAAAAAATGGAGTGAGGAGTCCCCGTTACCCCATTACCCACCTTCAGCAATTATCCACATATCCTGGTGTTGTTTTATTTATCTCTTATTTATACTGTCTAACACACCTCCTTTTAGATTATTTTAAAACAAATCCAAGACACAGTATCATTTCATTAATAAATACTTTGGAGGTTCATATTTCAAAAATTATTTAACTGATAGTATGCATTATGTCTGCATAATTTTAAGTTTAGAAATATTATATCTAAACATGTTAAACCAAATATAGAAAGACTTATGATTAGGTGCTCTGAACTGAAACCATCCTAGAAACCTTCAGTGTAACCTCTTATTTTTGCGTATGAGAAAATTAAGGCCCGGAGGGTGACCGTGACCAGAGCCCCCCTTTTAGCCACTTGTGTCAGCACACAGGCATTTGCGTAGGGCAGTGCGGCAGTCACTCTGTCCTTTGTTTGTGATGGGGGCCCAGCAGTGGTGCTGGACCAGGTTTAATCTGTGCTGAATTCTCATCCATTGCATATTCTTTGCTGAAACTGAATTAGGTGCCAGCACTTTAAAATGCCGAAAAATGTGGGCAAAAAAAGAGAAATCTATTATCCAGTTTTTCTTAAAAGCAGTTGTCAGTAATTAAGTTATTTTGAAGAAATTTAAAATGCATAAGAAATATTAAAATGGTATTGTCTTATTGCCCCCAAAGAACACCTTATTTATATTTGTGTGTATGTATGTATATATATATACACATATACATACATGTTATGTTGGGTATTCAGTTTTGTAATCAGTTAATAGCAGATAATAAACATGAGCATTTTTATAATATTCTTTTATAAAATGATTTGATAACTACATGATCCATTTGTAGACATACCATAGTTACCTACCTCTCTACTATCACCTAAAATGGATACTTACCTGTATTTTGTATTATTTGTGGTTGTTAATTATTTGAGCCAGGGTGTCTCTCTGTAGTCAAGACCAGCCTTGAACTTGCTGTGTAGACCCAGAGTGCTGTAAGCTTGTGATCTTTTTGCTTCGGCCTTTCGAGTGCTGGGATCATGGGTGTGGACCACACCTAGCTATATTATTTTCTAAGAGTAATTTTTAGAAGTGGGTTTCTGTGTAGTAGATTACATTAATTTTGATTACCTTAGTGCCCTTTTAAGTATAAAAACAACATTTCATTCCAAATGAAGT